AGCACCAGACCTAGCCCTCACATTCATTGGACCACAGATGTCAGAATGAATTAATTGCAATGGAAAATCGGCTCTCTTAGCCTTTCCAAATGGTTTACGTGTAATCTTTCCGGCAAGACAATTTTCACAAGTTGGCATTTCAATTTTAGAGAAAGAACCCAAATGTCCTTCCTTAGCCAATCTATTCATTCGATCCTGCCCTATGTGACCTAATCTTGCATGCCATGTGATAACATCAACTTCATTGTTACTAGAATAACATGCCATAACACAACGGTCAACATAATAGTTATACGTAGAAGGATTACAATCTAACACAATAAAACCATCATAACGATGTCCAAAACCATAAAAAACATTGTCTTGAGTAATTCTAAGACCACTGCGACTAAAGTTCAAATTGAAATCTAAATCTAGAAGAACAGACACAGAGACTAAGTTTCGTCGAATCTCTGGAACATAAAGGACATCATGCAACATCAAAGATCGGCCACCACGCATGTCCATTCTGCAAGTGCCTATCCCTTTGACTTCAAGCTTTGCATTATTTCCCACATATACATACTTTGATCCAGGTGGAACTCGACGAAACTCTATGAACGCTTCTCTATCGCGGCTCACATGGTCGGTGGCCCCTGAGTCTACAATCCACACAGGATAAGATTCAGTTAGTAAAACAGTGCTAGAAACATATATAGCACTAAGAGATGCGTTTTGAAATGCTACCTTTTTCGGCTCAGTGCACTCACGAGCAAAATGCCCTGGAACTTGGCAATTGTAACACTTCATCTTGCTCTTGTCTTTCTTCTTGAAGAACCGTTTTCCTTTCTTGGAATTTGACTTGTTTCTTTTCTTGGAGGGTCCTTCTCCGGTCTCCTTACCCTTTCCATCATTTTTCCAGTTTCTCTTGCGCTTGAAGCTTGATTTCTTTGTACCACTTGATTTTGCCACAAAGGCATTAGGTACAGCAGCACCAAGTCGCTCGTCTTCAAGCTCCACATGACGGGCAACATCAACAAAAGTTTTGATACTATCATTGTGGGTCAAGTTAACCTTCAAATGTTCCCAATTATTGGGAAGAGACCGAATCACTGCCTGAACCCGCTGCTCATCAGAGAGAACATGGCCAGCACTTTTGAGTTGAGCAATCATATTTGACATCACCCTTAGATGTTGCTTGACACCGTGATCATGACGCTTTTTGTACGTGTCAAACTTGATTGTCAGCTGACGAAGGCGAGTCACAGTCGTACCCCCATATCCCTCCCTTAAATGTGCCCACATGGCTTAAGCAGTAGGATATTGCTCACATTCGTGAATGAAATCATCCACAACTGAGCTTACAATGATTCCACGAGCAGTGGCATCTTTCTTTTTCCAAGAATTGTAAGCCTCAAGATCTCTCCTATGTTGGGCAGTGTTACCCTCCTCTGGGCAAACCATGACATGGTTAATGGCTTCAAGAGCATCTTGCTCTTCCAGCACACACCACATCTTACGGCTCCAAATATCATAATTTTCACCGTTCAGTTTGTCACCCTTGTTTAAGTCAGCAATGATAGTCTTTGATGCCATAGTCTGTTAAATAAAATAATAATGCAAGTGTATTTATTACTCATCATTCTCACATGTGATATACACACTTAGGCAAATCAATTAAATAAAATATTAATTTTACACTTAGTATAGAATCGAAAGGTTACTACGTTTCCATTCATCATCTACAACTAAATGTTCAACTAATATTTTATAAAATCATTTCTTATAGTGTGTATCTTGTCAAGATTTTCAATATCATGTCATACTTATTTTAATTGCCATACATTAAAAACAAACAAACAAAATGACATGTAATCTTGCAAACAAATAACAAAGTTTCATTAATTAAACAAATTACAAGTAGTTGTAGAGACGGTTCTCCCACTCAGCTTCAAATTTAAGAACATAAACCCAAAAAGGTTCACTTGGCCAAACCTCGCGATAAACTTCAGTTAAAATACTACCTAAAGGTTCTCCAAGTGAATCTACTAAAATTGCTAAGGCTTCCCAATCAGATAGTTCAATTTCGTCAATAGCATCGATTAGTGCTTCTCGGGTAAACTGATAATTTCTAATATGTTCAGCTAGTGAAGCCCTAAGCTCTCTAAATTTCTTTTCTCTTTCCCTTCGTTCAGCCCTTCGATCCCTTAACTGATTTTGTCTCGCCCTTGGGACAATCCTGATGACTTCAGGCTCCGAGTCTGAATCATTATAGAAATAAGTCCTGCGACGACGTACCCTTCTATGTTGTCCCCTTCCTTGACTTCGAGAACTCCCACTTGGAGTAATTCGAACTTGTCCCTGTTCAGCCATATCTGAAATAGGACCAAGGAAACAATAATAATGGCTACAACCACTTAATGTGACAACATATATCATTTGTAGAAGGATATCTATCGAGGGATTATGACTAAACTAATTTTCCATTTACTGAAACAGACAATGTTTACTGATCTTTCTTATGGATCATTTTCTTAGCATTCAGCAGACAAAAAAAATTCCAAGCTTTATGTACTATTTGTTTAATTCAAATTGAAACCAAATTAACAAGCACCACTGAAGTGTGCAAAAGTTGCATGTTCCTAAGAATTGAAACAAAAAGTTGCAATATAATAGCCACTGATTCGAAATTCTAATGAAACGTTGCATGTTTATGAGAATTGAAAAATTCTTGGAATAGTGCTAGTTTCTTCTGAGACGTGTACTAGTTAATCCCTTTTTTTAAATATAATACGCTGAAAATAAAAAGGTCAAAAGGAACTGAGTTTTCTTCCAAAATTTTTGGAACAGATTCAATTTTCCAACCTCTTATAAAACTTATCTTATATTTATAGTTTCGTAAAATTCAATATATAAAAAAATTAGAAGACAAATAAGGAAAAACAAAAGTACAGTCGTGATCACAATCATCGTTTTCTCAAAAATTTGATCACCTATCACTGTAACACTTGTTCCATGTAAATTTATTCATCCAATCTTTTCTGTCACAGTCTAGGAATCAAATAAATCCTACGCTCTGATACCATTGTTAGACTAATAATCGCAGGGCGAGAACAACATTAGCGTACCTGTCAACGCAACGGAAGAATTGTTGAACTCACCACCGAAATAATTGCCCCAAATCGAACTTTGAATCACTGGGAAACAAAGTTAATCTCCCACCAATTAGATGCCCTTACTTGTGTGTGTTCTTCGTTGGGAGAAGAAGAGAGTCAGAGAAAATTCTTGAGTTAGAAAAAAAAACTTACGGTTCTTTGTTCTGTATTATCTCCTTCAGACAAATAGGGAGAGTAATAGCGGTTAAGGAAGATAATCCACCACTCACCCCTTTTGCACGTTCAGTTTAGTGGGTGTTTGTGCTCTAATGATAACTTCCCTTTAACCTCTCTCCCTTATCTCTCCTAATCGGGTCGGGTCAGCCCACATGGAGCGACCCATGACCCATTGTGAACACCTAATTTTTTACCACACCGCAAATCCTATACTACTTTAGTGTAAATATTTCTTTTAGGTCTAATCTTAATATTTGAAACGTTTATCTTACTCTTAATAGGTTTTAATNACCGTTGAACTCACCACCAAAAGAATTGCCCCAAATCATATTCTGAATCTCCAGGAAACAGAGTTTTTGTTCACAAACTAAATGCCCAAAGTTCACTGTGTTCTTCCTTTCACAATTTTTTTTGCCACACTTAATCTCTGTACTGAAGAGGAGTATATAGAGAAGAGGAGATGGGAGAACTACCGATGATAACTGTTCCTCCACGTTCTCAGTTTCACAAAAGAAAACGTGCGGTAGTTTTTTTTTTTTTTTAGGAGTCAGAGCCTACATATAACCTCCTTAGGTTTTGTCCCCTTTTTTTTCTCTTTTTTAAAACGGGTCGGGTCAGTCCACATAGGCGACCCACGACCCAAACCTTATATCCAACAGATACCTCATACCATATGGTTATAGAAAAAATTATGATTTAGATTGACAATCAAATAAACCATGTTTAAAGACGTAAAAGGGAAAAAAAGGAATGAACTCATTTAATATAACGGGAAGTTTTGGTTTTTGTTTTCTAGCGCTATGTATCTATTTAAAATCGTAAATTGTATGGCTGAGTAAGTGCTGACCTGTTGACAATATCGTTCAAGGGCACTATCCGTTCCAACATAACCAACTTAAAAATTAAAAAAAATAAAACCTTTTCTGAATACAGCAAAAATATTCTTAAATCTATATATCTATTAAAGCAAGAAAGTTATCATGTATAATTGACATTATGGTTAAGCCAAGTGGCAAGCTAATAAATGTTAATAGTATATGATAACTTTATTCTATATTTGATAATTTTAGTTAAATACATATATATATATATATATATATATATATATATATATATATATATATATATATATATATATATATATGTATATATGTATGTTTTATCTTCTTTTATTTAAATAAAAAAAAAGGTTAAGAAAAGTTAAAAAAAATAAATAAATAAAAAACTAACGAAAAAGAAAGAAAAAAGAGATTACAAAAATCTGATCCAACTTCCCCATTTTCCCCACTTCACTCACGTCTTCTACCCATGATCACACACTCACACCCACATCTCCATCTACTTATAACCAACCTCATTCTTCTTTTTCTTTATATAACAGAAGAACACAAACAAACAAAAAAAGAGGACACACAAGATACAAGAGGAAGAAAAAAGAATCGGGCAAAGAAAAAAAAAAAAGGGGGGAGAGAAAAAAAATGAATATGAGGAATTAAAGAAAACAGAGCCAAGGAATTGCCATCCTCATGTCACTGTTACCTAGATGTGAGGACGGTTGAAGAGTTTAACAGAGGACATATTGATAAAGCGATAAATATTCCAAACGTATTCCTCACTGAAGAAGATTTGTTGCTGCTTTTCTCAATTATCTTTCCGGTGTTAATTCGAGTCTCGTCCGCGGTTCGTCATATTTTTGAGTTAAAAACAGTGAAACAATCAATTTTTCGGCTATATTGAGGTCTAATTCTCTCATCCTCTATTCGTTTTATCCCAGCTTAATGTTAATTGTCTGTTTGGTGATATGATTCCGTTGTTTGTGTAATTGTTCTTCATAGTTTTGAATTTGTTCACTTAGTTATCTGCTCATATGTTACTCGAATTGATTATAGTTGAACATGATTTCATCACAGTATAGAAATTGGGTTTGAAGTTTTAAACCTTCGCGTGATCTTAGGTCTCGTGTATTTATTTGGTTATTAGATTTGTATTTGAGTGCAAAATTAGAAGATCAGTGAGTTGATTTTTGTATACTGGAAATATGATGTTATATTTATATTTAATTTGCAACAAAGTAACTATGCTACTTTACTCTGAAACTAGCACCTCATGTAATAGTGTGTCTCAACCTGATTTTTCACTTTTAACTAATATTTTGTTATCACTACTCTTAAAATGAAAAAGAAGAAGCATGAACTCAATGGATGATCGGTTCTGTTTGCATTTTCTTATTGAATAATTGAGATACAATGGATATTACTCTCTCAGTTTCCTATTATGCGTCTTGTTTTGATTTGTCACGGTATTAAAAAAATGTGAAAATATTTAGTGGTCATAGTTTTATTGTCGTTTGTTTAATCTGTTCGCGTGACATAATTACGATCCTAAAAACAAAATCGGAGTATGCGTTCGCACAACTTCGACCAAAACTTTCTTAATATTTAATAAAGCGTGATTAATTGTTAAAATAAAAGCGCAACTCCCTTTTGTTAAAATAAGTGAGGTGTGCCATGTCAAACAAAATTTATAATTCATGGCCCTATTAAGATTAGATTAAGAACTAACACTTATAGAAAAGGTTTGAGGTGTGCCATAAATAAATTAAATCATCCATGGCCCTCACAAATGTTGCTTTTAAAAATTGAATAATCGTAGTTTGCTTTATGCTCGATTTAGACTAGTATTGTGATTATGTATACGTTCGCGTAACATAATTGCAAATTTAATTCTAAAAAATAATTCGAGGGATGCGTTCGCGCAACTTCAACCAAATTTTTCTTAATAAAATAAACAAAGCATTATTAATTATGGACACGTTCGCGTGACATGATTTTTGGCGCGCCAAAGGAAATGAGTATACGTACGCGTAACTCGATTCTTTAATTAAGAATAATTCAAGTGATTTAAAAGCGGTAAAAATATAAATGCACATAGGTCCTAAAAATGAGTAGTTAAACAATTTAAATCAAGTATAAATCGCTAAGCGACCGTGCTAGAACTACGGAACCTGGGAATGCCTAACACCTTCTCCCGGGTTAACAGAATTCCTTATCTAGAATTTTTGGTTTGCAGATTTTTTTTTTAAAATAAAAACTTCCTCGATTTGGGATTTAAAATAAACCGGTGACTTGGGACACCAATTAAATTATTCCAAGTGGCGACTCTGATTAATTAAATAATTCCATTTCGAATAATGTCACTTTAATTGGAAAAACTCCCATATCACCCTTTCAGGGTGGAAAAAAGGAGGTGTGACAGCTCTGGCGACTCTGCTGGGGAAGATAACCCAGAACTTCTGTTCTGGGTTTAGAATTCGAGCTTGTAATGTGATCTATACTTGGCTTTATTAATTTGATGTTATTACTGTGCTTTTGGGCCTAATGTGCTAATTGCCGCTTATTTACCGCTTTGATATTATTTGAATTGTATCAAACTGTCTTCTTACGCCCCCCTTCTGAGTCTTCTGAATTTATGGTGCACAGGTGCGCGTGGCCCACTTTTCTGTTAGAAGTCATACCAATTAGAACGAGGCTGGGTCAAGTAACTAGGCCGGGTAGACTTTCGTGCTTCCGGTACGTTGCCCCCACCTCGGCTCGAGCTGTCCGCTTGGGTAAGCCAGGTCTAAAACACTCCCCCCAGGATTTAAACCTAGAATAACAGCCTCATGCCGGATCCCTAGTAAGAACGTTTGTTTGCATCATGTGCATTTGACTTTGGGGACTCAACACAGGGGTTAGGTCCGTCTAGGACAGGTGTACCCGAGAATTGTAAGACCATCCTGATGCATCTTATGTGCTACTTGTGCATTATGTTTGATTCGGCTTGTGCATGTTGACTGGCTTCTAAAAAATAAAAATAAAAATAAAATAAAAATTGAGGGAAAACTAGAAGGGAGAAAATAGGAGAGGAAATTTTACTCAGTTTTTGAAAATTCTCAGTATTTACCTCAAAAAGATTATTACAAAATAAGCCTAAATTTTTCAAAAAAAAATGTCATCCTATTCCTGAAACATATACAGAACTACGCGGGTCTGATTCTCACCGGATGTGAGATACGTAGGCAACCTTCATCGGGTCCGGCCCCCAATTTCAAAAAATCCAAAAAAATATTTTCCACTTTTTTTAAAAAAAAAATCTTTCTCCCAAAAATTCAAAAAAAAAAAAAAGAAAATCGAAATCCAAAAAAAAAATATTTCTTTCTTTCTAAAATTACCAAAAAATGGAGATTCAAAAATATTTTCGTTAATGTTTAGAAGTCTTTCCTTCGAAATTTTAAAAAAAAAAGAGATAGAGAATTTAAAGTTCAAAAATATTTCCTTGTTAAGAGCTTTTACGATTAGGTTTTTTTAAGTAAAGTAAAAAAAAAAAGTTAAGTTTATTTATTTTATTCTTGTATCTTCCCGAATTACGCAAGATCTGATTCATGTCTCCACATGATACGTAGTCAANGCGACTCTAAATAAAATGAATAATCCCATTTCGATTAATGTCACCTTTAATTGGAAAAACCCAATTCCCCTTGGCGGGAAAAAGGAGGTGTGACAGCTATGGCGACTCTGCTGGGGACATAACCCAGAACTTCTGTTCTGGGATTAGAATTCGAACTTGTAATGTGATTTATACTTGGCTTTATTAATTTGATGTTATTACTGTGTTTTTGGGCCTAATGTGCTAATTGCCGCTTATTTACCGCTTTGATATTATTTGAATTGTATTAAACTGTCTTCTTACGCCTCCCTTCTGAGTCTTCTGAATTTATGGTGCACACGTGCGCGTGGCCCACTTTTCTGTTAGAAGTCATACCAATTAGAACGAGGCTGGGTCAAGTAACTAGGCCGGGTAGACTTTCGTGCTCCCGGTACGTTGCCCCCACCTCGGCTCGAGCTGTCCGCTTGGGTAAGCCAGGTCTAAAACACTCCCCCCAGGATTTAAACCTAGAATAACATAGCCTCATGCCGGATCCCTAGTAGGAACGTTTGTTTGCATCATGTGCATTGACTTTAGGGACTCAACACAGGGGTTGGGTCCGTCTAGGACAGGTGTACCCGAGAATTGCAAGACCATCCTGTTGCATCTTATGTGCTACTTGTGCATTATGTTTGATTCGGCTTGTACATGTTGAACCGGTTTCTAAAAAATATATATATAAAAATTGAGGGAAAAGCAGAAGGGAGAAAATATGAGAGAAAATTTACCCAGTTAAAATAAAAAAAATCTCGGTATTCACCCCAAAATAAAAAATTATCAAAATAAGCTTGAATTTTTTTTTTTAAAAAAAAAATTTCATCCTATTCCTGAAACACATACGAACTACGCAGGTCTGATTCTCACCGGATGTGAGATACGTAGGCAACCTTTATCGGGTCCGGCCCCTACTTTTTATAAGTCCAAAAATATTTTCTTTTAAATTCTTCTCAAAATCCAAAAATATTTTGTTCTTCTTTAAGAGTTTTTCTTTCGAAAATTCCCAAAAAAAAAATCAAAATCCAAAAAAAAATATTTTTCTTCATTCTTTAGAAAATACCCAAAAAAAAAGAGTTAGTTTATTTACTTTATTTTTGATATCCCCGAACTACGCAAGATCTGATTCATGTCTCCACATGATACGTAGGCAACCCACATCAGGTTCGATCGCATCATTTTGAAAAGAAAAAAAAAGTAAGTAAATAAAAAGAGAAGAGAAAAAGTGGCTAAAAAAAAGAAAAAAAATAGAAGAAGAGAGAGTGTTTATTCAAACATGCTTGTTTGTTTTGAAATAAAAGCTAATTAAAGGTGGTCGGTTTGTTGGTTTGCAATGGCGAGTCACGCAAACAATCCAAGATCCTCAGAAGTAAAGCATCTTCTCAACAAATGGAACAAGCACCATTGTTGTTGATCCAAGATCAAGAAAAGGCAAGTAGGCAAGTTGGCGGTAAAAAATAAAAAAATGAAGGCAAATGTGGGATTGACTTTACCAGATTTGAGCAATAGGACATGGCCTGCTCGGAATGATTTGATGATGGGAATTTGATCCAGTATTGAAAGTCATAGTAGCCATTGCCGCGGCAGAAGAGAAACAAAAAATGGGCGCCAACCCCGAAAGCCCTATCAGATGGGAGTCTCGGTAGCAGGTCTTGCTATCTTTTCTGCCTTTCGAGTTATTTCAGTGTGTCATCCGAATGTTTTTACTTTACTGTCTTATATTCTGATGTAAACCCTTCTATCTTTTTTTTAAATATTCAAATAAATGAAATCAATATTTCATCATCCATGAATGTCTCATTTCTTAATCTTGTCACCTTTCTTATTCTCTTGTCAGTTCTATAAATCCAGATTTTAATAACATGACATGCTTGCAGACTTTATGCCCAGATCCTAAAACGCTGTCAGATTTCGAAATAATGAATCAAGAAGCAGAATGTGTTGAAGATAAGGAGTGTAAGAAAATAAACAGAGAATTGGAACAGTAAGCCTAAATCAAATTCAAATGAAGCCGCCCTTACTTGATTGGTTTATGGCACTGAAGCCGTGATACCAGTAGAAGTTTAATTTTCTTCCCTTCGGATCATTCTTGAAGCCGAGATCGAGGTGAAAATTGAGTCAAGACCTGATTGAAACATTGTCTTTGATTGATGGAAAGTGATTGGCCGGAGGCCACCATGGACAGTTGTACAACAAAGAATGGCCCATGCTTACAAGAAGAAAGTACGTCCCAAGAAATTTGAAGTGGGGCAACTCGTCCTAAGACATATTCTCCTGGGC